CTCAAGTTCACTTCACAGTTGTATGCAGTGGGTTGTTTCCTGATTCGTGAAGAATTGAATGACGGTCACCTCCTTTGGAGTCCTAAGTTGCTGTCTCTATAAACCAGTGACAGATTTGGCTATCTTACTATCCCATGCCCTGACAAAAGTTCGCCTTGCTTCTCTTTATTTTAAGCAATCTGTGTCTTTAAGCTTGAGTCTTTCAAGCACACCAAGTCATAAAAAAGGCCTTTAAAGAGTTTCATATCAGTATCAAAAACCTAGGAGATTTGCCAATGAGTCCTTTGGTTTGAAAGGAAAGTTTGGAACTTCAGGCATCGCTCTTGCCATTTTCGTGACAAGTCAGGTGTCCACCTTAGCCCTTCCAGTCTTTCTCTGTATGAAATTCTGTCTGTCTCACTAACTAATTTATGCTGAGCTCAAAGACCCATCTTTTCCCCCCAGAAGTATCTCCCAGGCAGACGGCATCATTACTCTGAAAACGTTTGTGATGCGGGGGGCGACGGGGGGTGCGGAGGAACTCCGGGGCTGAGATGACGGGAAAGCCGCAGCCTCAGAATCTCTGGCTCCTGCCTCTTCCGTGCTGACACACGTCTGTGTGATTGTTGGTAAAGTTTTTGGTGGATAAATCGTATAATTGGTGGGAGACCAAGAAGGGAGTGAATCAAATGAGCATTAATTGAGAGCTTGCCCTTAAGAAAGAAGGGACTCAGTAAACATAGGCAGCAAAAGGTCGTAAATAGTCACTGTTTCACTCTGAAAATGGAGACTGCTTCTTATACTTGGTTCGGATATAGTCGGAGACCATGGCCAAGGTTGATTTTAAGATTTCAGTTTTCAAATGAGTATCGAGGCGTCCCTTTACATGTCCAGCCTGTCTCATTGGGGCAGGGCTGAACACGGGCTTGGCTGCAAGGCTTTTGTGGAGGTGGGGGACTCCTGGGTTCCCTCCCTTCCTCACAGCCAGGCGACCACCCCCAGAAGGACACTGGCGCCGTACTTCTCAGAGAGGTTGAGGTGGAGGAGTCTGGACACAAGACGCCAGGCCCACGGAGGATGGGGAGCGCAACCTGCCAGACCAAACGGAGAGGGTCCTCAGTACGAGGCGACATGCTCGTGCCGAGCCTTCCGAGCCTTCCCTGCTCAGCCGCTGTTGTGCCGGCAGCCGGGCGGGTGGTCGGGAGGTGGTTCTGGCGAGAAGCTGGCCGTCCGAGAGAGCAGCCCTCAGGAGTCTGGCACTGGGGCTGCTGCAGTGGGGAAGACCGCTGGCGTTTCCAGCTGGTGTGTCAGTGCCTCCGCCCCGGTACTCGAAGAAAGTCTGACAGGGACACTGGGGGCAGATGAAGGAGATAAGAAGCGCTGCTGTGGCCACAAAACAGGAACCAGAGACTCTAAAAAGAACGTGCAATTGCTCCTTACTTGAAGATTTAAAATGTTCGGGTAGAAGTGGAAAAGAAATGGAATTAGAAGATAAAGTTGAGGAAGCTCCCAGAAATCAAACAAAAGACAGAGAGATAAGAATTGGAGAGGTGGTGACATCTGACTCAGAGGCCTCAGAGCAAACGAAGAAATCAGAGGAGTGAGACCATCAGAATTTCTTTCCAAGAACTGAAGAACACAAAGTTCCCAGACTGAAACACTCTGCCTACCAGTTGTCTGGTCCTAAACCATCGCACAAGCGGGCCAAAAATTTGGGTTGCCACCGACTTCTCGGCAGCAGAAACTCTAAGATAGGAGAGCTGTGCTTTAAGTTTCTGAGGGAATTTCCAAACTCGAGTTCTGTATCCAGCCAAACGATGAAGTCACATGTGAAGACGGAGTATGTTCATTTCAGATGCGCAAGATAGGAAGCGAGTGTGTCTCGATGCACCTCTTTTTAGGAAGCTACTGGCAAATGTGTTCCACCAAAACCAAGGGGAAAACTCAGAACCTGGGAAGCCAGCAGTTCACGTGAGAACAGTGAAGGGAGCTCCCAGGGTGTGCTGAAGAGAAGTCCTAGAAAAGACATTGTTAAGCTTCTCTGAGAACACTGGCAAGGAAACTCATTCTTACTATTTGATGCTGCTTTCCAATTGAGAATAAGTAATAAGATAGACTGGTAGGTGAAGATTATTACATCAGCAACACTGGGAATTACAAAAGCAAAGTATAGTCTCAAGAAACAGTCGTATACTCTTTCCACATCTGTATTCCATTCCAGGGCTATGTTTCTCCATGAAAGCTTTATTTTAGAATTCAGTGGTACTCTTTTTTAGCATGTTTGAAACTTCAAGTGAGTAGTTCCCCGAAAGACCTTAGTGGCAGAATCTTGCCCCTCCCCTCTGTCAGATAAAACCCTAGGAGGAAGGCCCATCTACATAAAAGAGAAGAAGGCCTCCGCTTTGGAGGGGTATGTTCCACCTACATTTCGCCACCTCCCCGCCCCAGTTTGCTGTGACCTCTGAGGCATGGAGGTTCTGCAGAGCAGTTTAAAAACACTGGTCTAGCAAAAACCTCTGCTGAACACACGGAGCACCGTTAGCTTCATGAACTCGCAGAAGCAAAACATGGTGTCGCGTGTATAGTAAGCTTGTGAAATGCCGTCTTGACAAGCTGACACCTATCTGAATATGTTAGTCTCTTGTTAAATGAAATGTCTTTGCCTCAGTTTGAAACGAAGGCTGGAGCCCCCAGTTTTTGCATTCTTGACAGTTTAAAGTCTGAAATCCGTGACTCCGCTTTGAGAAACATGGAGCTGTGAAACACACTGTGTCTTGGGTGGGGCAGCTGCGTTCCACACGTGGCTTGTGGGAGGCCCTCAGCCCCCCTTCACGCTGCCCTTTCGTTTTCCCCCGTCACCTTTGGGAAACCATCGAAAGCGTCATGGCTATAGGTGGCTTTCCAGATACCGTCTTTTCTGGTAAATAAAGCTGAAAGATGGGGTGAAGGATAAAAACAGACAACTTAATGCCACGAGAATGTGTGTTTTTGTGTAGTGTGGTTATTATGAAATGTCTGTCACATCCTATTTGAATCTGCCTGGTACCACGAAGCGTCAAAGGTACCAGTGGAAGAGCATGGCAGTCACTATGTCATCTGAAAAATGATTTATCATTGGTGGATCTTAAAAATGCCAGCTCTGTCTAGGTGTGGTGGTTCATGCCTATAATCCCAGCACTTTGGGAAGCCAGGGTGAGAGGATCGCCTGAGCCCAGAGGTTCGAGACCAGCCTGGGTGACTTAGCGAGACGTATCTCAACAATAAATAAAAAAAAAATTAGCTGGGCATGGTGGCACATGCCTGTGGTTCCAGCTACGTGGAAGGATCGCCTGAGCCTAGCAGGTCGAGGCTGTGATGGCTGTGAGCATGCCACTGCCCTCCAGCCTGGGCAATAGAGTGAGACTCTGACTTAAAAAAAAAAAAAGCCAACTCTGTGGCTTTAACTACCTGTGCACCTTCTTGGGGAAGGGTAGTCCCTAAACAGCCATTCTGTATGCTAGTTAATGTTTACTTTTTTTCTTGTCGGGCTTAGGAATATAATGGAGAAGTAGCTAAAAACCCTGTGTACTTTGTGCACCCAAGAGTTCAAGCGCATGTTGCTTTTGCATCTACTTGTTCTTTTCAGGGTCTTCAACTCAATAATGCAGAAAACAAAACTCACGAAATTAAAGAAGAAAACGACATTTTTAACTCCACCTTTTGTATCTCTGCTTGTAATTTTGGTAATTAAAACATTGAACAAATACATACCTTGGCAGGCAAATTATTTAACCGGAAGTTTGATCAAAGTACAATTAGAAGAACACTCAAAATCATAGCTAGAGCTGTTATTATCTTCTTGGGCGCGACCCAAAAAGTGGATGTGCAGATCAGCGTTTCAGACTCAGAGTGTGCATGTTTATCTTGAAGACCATGCAGAATCAGTTGTTTTCGAAAGTCAGCAGCAGCCCTCATTTTTAGCCCTCTGTCACTCCCCGAGGGTGTTTCTGGGGGCTTCTGTGAAGAAGCACAGCTGCGGGGGGTCATCCACTTCGGTGGCAGGGTGTGCCCAGACGCCACGTGACTGTGGAGCCTTTGCAGTCACTGCAGAGCCGACTGGAAAGTGGCGTCCCCACCCCAGAAAGCCTTTGCGTGGCTGCCTTCAAGTCCAGAGCCCTACCAGGCACACTTTAAGGTTGACTTGGGACTTCCAACTTTGCAAGAAAATAACCGTTGGAAGGGCTGGAGATGTTCTTCATTTCCTTCTTGTTGCCTTCTGCTTTCTCCACTTAAGAAAGCAGCATCTGTCTGTGTTGTTTCTCCTCATTTTGTTTTCGTTAAATGAGGACTTTTGTTACCCGGAATCGAGGCCTTCTGTGCATTTCTGTGCCAGGGCACAGCAGTACATGGCTCCAGGAGGGGCGTATCTGTGCGGGTACTGTCCCTGGACGTGGGCAGCGTCCTGCACTGTGACCTTGCCGGGTGGCCCTGCCTGCTAGCCTCATTTTATTAAGCCTGCCATGTATGGTTCATGCCTTGAGGGATGCTGATCCCTCTAAGTTTTCCTCTTATTCTTTTCTGGTTTCTAAACGGCTCACTCACTCATGAGAGCAGAATTACCTGGGGACTTGAGACCTGTTGTTCATTTTATAGAACTCGGATCCACATACGTTTGAATAAATTTAAGTTTTTAATTTGCCATTTGTAGCTTATCTTGGAAAGTCATCCTGGTCCTGCACTTAAAATTCTGTCCTGGGCATTATTCCTAATATGTCACTGGTTTATTTCATCCCCCAAAATGATGTTGATAGTTCTGGTTTCTCATTGGCGCATGACAAAGATTACTTACGCTACTTTTGAAAGGTTTAGGATAATCTGTATTTTACATACTAAGAATCATGACATTGATAGTAATACACCGTAACACACAGTGAAATCCTTGGAGGAGTTGGCAAGAATGGTCTTTTCCACCCACTTATAAATTCTTCGAAGCCAGTCAGCAAAGGCAGTGCAGCAGCTCATCATTTCTTCTTGATGTTCAGGTAGTGCCAGCACTCAAGGTGACACTGGCGAGCTCTGTCTACCAGAAAACGTTCTCTTTCTGATCCTCAGACATCACTGTTGAGATGGCCCGTTCCCTGCATATCTGATGCAAGTACCTTCATAGCTCAGCACGCACCTCCAGCACGCCAAAGTCTGTCTTCAGGTGCATGCTATGAGCAGAACTTGGTGATGCATGATTGTGTCTTGAAACCATGAACTCACCTCGTGCTGACTCGCTGCTTGCCAAAGTCATCCCCCTCAGTCCTTGCATGGGTGCCCTGTGGCTATAAAAGTCGGTCTGGCACTGCTTTGCTTACAGTCGTCTCACCTCAGACCCCACTTAGCAGCTTCTGTTTCTCAGGGAATGTGCTCTGACTGAGCTGGAACTTTAGGAAGTAGAGAGACGTGGTCCACCTACAGAAGCCCTTAAGAGCACACGGGATGTCAACTCCCTTGGCCACTCACAGTGACGTCCACTTGAATGAGGCTATAAGTGATGTCAGAAAAAGCTAGAGAGACATCTACGGCCACAGGATTCTCTGGCTTAAGTGCACACTCAGGCGTCAGGTAATATGTTAATAATATTAATGTTTGTGGCAGTTTTGTTGAACTTTTGCTATGTGATCGACATACTTGTTTTACATGAGTTAGACAATTTAATGTAACAACCCTATGAGGCACAAAATGAGCATACTTATTTCACAGAAGGCAAACTATAGCTTAAAGTAGGGTTCTCAAGGTCCCACAGCTAGCAACTCGTGGATCGAGGGTTTTGCTAGTGGAGACAGGTCTGACTCTGAGCCCTGCTCCCAAGTCCTATCTCCTTGTATAATCTTTACAGTAATCTCCCTTATCCAGTTTTACTTTCTGCAGTTTCAGTTACTTGCGGTCTGAAAGTGTTCAATGGAAAATTCCAGAAATAAGCAATTCGTAACGTTTACATTTTGCGCCACTGAGTTGTGTCACGAAATCTCACGTCCTCCCGCTACATCCTGCCCAGGGTCTGAATCGTCAGTTTGTCCAGTGTGAAGCTGCTGACTGCACTACCAGCCCGCTGGTTATTAATAGCCACCTGGCCATCAGCTCGAAAGCAGAGTGTACGTGTGGGCCTTGGAGCGTGTCCTGCGGTCAAGGGAGATGGCTGCACTTCTTCCGAACGGTTTTGAGTGGAAGTTTTTAGTAGGTGGATGAGGAGTTGGAAGGGAGCGGGGAGAAGAGGACTGACGCTTGGACAGCAGATACTTTCCTTTGAAACCCTGAGGAAAGGTATTTCTAACCTAGGACTCTGTGCCAAAGCACACTTTCAGATGTGCGCATGAGCTTAGCAAAGGCATCGTCTAATGCTTTAGAAGGCACAAGCTTATACCTTATAGACGAGGTTGTTGGCCGACTAGTTTTGGGGACACTTCCTGGAGAAAAGGAAAGTTGTGAGAGAGGCCACACCCACTTGATTCAGCACGTGGATCCCGTTCTTTGAATACACAGCTTCTCGTTCTTCCCTACATGAACATTATGTCTAGTTGCTCTGTCAACAACTGCAAGTGTATTCTCCCCAGCTAAGGACAGTGTCCGGAAGCGCAGTTGTGTGACCATCCAAGCTCATCCAAGCTCATGGTCTCCTAGAGATCCCAGTTCTCTTTGTGGTCCATCGTGACCCGTCTGATCTGTGGCCTTGCGGGATGCCTAGAGCAAATTACAAACATAGCTGTCACCAGCGCTTCTGTATGCAACAGTTAGAGAAAGGAAGAGGCAGAAAAACGAAAGACAAAAGGCGCAACATCTGAAAAAGGGCAGGGTCTCATTACAAGCAAGGACAGGGAAGAGGCTACACTCATTGTTTCTGCACCTGGCAATGGGGCCACAGTACTTTGACTTTTCTCCATTGACATTTGGTGTCCTTTGCCTTGGTGAGAATTCCACCAAATCAAAGCAAAGTTCTTTCACTGTAGGCTGAGCCAAAGCTACACCCCCAACAGCTGGCGCTGAGTGGGGTTGCTTGTCTAGTGTTGTGATGGCCGTCCGTTGGCCCTAACCACTGGCCATGCTGGCAGTCTGTACTTAGTGACCCAGAAGACACAGCGGGTCCACTCATGCCCTCCTAAGCCCTATCACGCATTGTCAGCTGTGTCCCTCTCTTGCCAACACCGTCATCCTCGCTTTGCCTCTTCCTTCAGTGAGTGAAGTAGCTCACGATGGCCTGTGGCTGTCTTGGCTCCCATGGTTAAGTATCAGCTTGCTGGAAGCCAGAAACCTGACACTGGGTCTTCAGATCTCATTCGCCTGTGTACCTAACTTTCTGGCCCAGTAGTGGTGAAAACAACAGCATCAGCCCGCGGCTCTCCTTCTCTAACTGAAGATGAACTTTACTGAGCACAGGCATTGCCCTTGGGGCATTTCAGCCACCGCAGACTACTTTCAGAGGGCTGGTCGACAGTGACTCTAGGAGAGCTGTGACACAAGGTCACACAAATTCAGATCCAAAGTAAGTTTCTTGTTCTACTGAGTAAGAATCACAGTGCCCTTCGTAATGGACAGGCCCAGTGTCAACAGCGTTTCTCCACCCCTGGCTGGTTCTCTCGAGGGCTAACACGGAGCTCAGAGTACGTCTTGGTTGCTTGTGCCCACAGCCCAGCAGAGCACCTCACCGTGGGGGGCCCCAGTGAGCCTGGCCGGGGTGCCATGCCGGGGAGCTTGTGTGCATCCTGTTCCCTGCTCCCATCTCTGCTTGAGTACCACTCAGCATCTGTGGCTGTCAGGGGTTCCACTTTCCTCTTCTGCAGCACAGCATTTCGTATGCAGCGTATGTTTGATAAGCATTTATTAAGCAGAGTTACTCAGAAATTCTTTTGCATTTGGGAGCATTTATAGTTTTGCTCTCGGTTGCTAATCTTCTAAGCAGACTACACAGTTCTGCCTTTAAGTGATTATTAGATTTAATCTGTTATATAATATTTCTTTAATGTGAATAGGCTCTTAAAAGGAGAAAAACATTTTCACAGACTCACAGTATTGCCTTAAATGATTTTTGTTATGGTTACTTAAATATGTGTTCCTAAATAACTATTAAAACAGATTCACAAAGTAATGACACGAGAACCCAATAAAATTTAAATTATTGCATACCCATAATGCAATGGGTATACTGTTGCTATACTAAAAGTCACTACTTGGTTTGTGAATAGAATAACGCCTTCAGTGCCATAGCATATAATAAGAATCATGGTATTACTCGATTTTACCCCAAATATTCTCCTTAATAAGAACAGTTAATACATATTGGATGTTTACTCTGGGTGTGGTAGATTTTTTTAAGACATGGCTATAGTATTTTAGCTCTCTTATCAAGAGGTGGAATGTATTTCTCTACCCATGACCTCAAGGTCAGTAGGTGGACTGGCCTTGTGACTTGGTTTGACCAATAGCAACATGGCAGAAACAGTGCCGAAGGAGTTCTCTCAGGATTATACTGTAGACTGTATAAAATGAGAAGAGGGAAGCCTAGGAACGCCCCATAAAACAAATGATTGATGAGATAAGGGCTCTTGAAGCCAGTGGGATGGAGACCATTACCAAGTGCAACTGAGTTCAGATCTGTTCGACTTAAGAACATGCGGTCAGTAGTGACTTCACTGAGAGCAGGTTCAGTGGAGTAGTGAGGGCAGAAACTGGATTGTCCAGAACTGAAGTGAGAATAGAAGGTGAGGTCTGTTGTGGACATCTCTTTCAAGAATGCTGAATGAGAGGGAGAAGGAGATAAGACTGGTAGCTAGAGACATTGCCTTGAACTGTGGACATGTGCTCATAGAACATAGTTTCTACCCCAAAACCCTCCTAGTCACCTGCTCTCTGGTTTCCATAGAGGCACTGATGAGAACTCACGGTGAGTTTCAGGCCTGCGTTGTGCTGCAAAGGATGTTCATAAAATAATAGATTCTGGGAATAATGTCTTAAGTCTTACTCGATCCCTGAATAATGCCGGATATTCATGGTTATGTAGCATTTGACTTCAGTGTCTTTCACTACATAAACTCTGATTTCACACTAGTGTGAGTATCCTAGAAGAAAAAAATAGAAATTTTTATCTTTTTAACAGGGTTAGGGAGAATATGCTGAATCTTCCAGATACATTTTTTTTCCTGCCATTGCTACCCTCTTTATGTTCAGGTACTGAGAAACTAGACCGCAGATTTTTTTACCCAGCATCTCAGATTTGAGTCAAGGCCAATTTCATAGAAATTTTGTTCTTCTATGTCATGGGGAGCTAACTGTCTAAATCCAGGGTCAGCAACCTGCAGTTCAGGCTGAGACAAGGCTTATGACCTGTGTTCACAAAGCCCACAAGCTAAGAGTGATTTTACGTTACTGAGTGGTTGAAGAAAATCCAAAACAGGAATATTTTGTGACACATGAAAAGCATATGGAATTCCAATTTTGGTGTCCATAAAGCTTTATTGGAACACAGGCACCCTCATTCATTTGCATATCACGCCAATCAGCTTCCAGTTGTGGGTGGTTACAGCAGAAGGGTTCTCAACACCTGCTGTCTGGCCCTTTGTAGAAGAAGTTGCCAGCCCTCATCTAAGTAGCTGATTCCCCATCCTCCTGCCTCTCCTCCCACACCTGCGGGCCTCCCACCCCCTCTCTCCCGCCTTCTTTTCCTGTCCTCCTCTTCACATAAGCAAGCACCTCATCTGGAACTTGGCTGCCAGCATGGCCTGTGGTAAACAGTGGGCGGGAACACGTTTCACTTTCCCTTGACGTGCATGTCAGTTCTCCCTGTCTGCTTTCCCTTTTCCTCTGCTGCCCTTACATAGAATCTGTAAGACCGTGTCCTTTCCAACATGTTTTGTTTTTGAGGTGGGGCTTGGATCTCGATGAGTTTTTTAAACTCCCTTGAAAGTGCCCTGTTAGTACAGGTCCCCTTTTTAACCTCCTTGCAGACACCCCGATGATCTGAAATCACTTTCCCATGGGGCTGAGGCTCAGCTTCAGTTCTCTTGGCATGTTGCTGCCACAGCAGACACTTCCTCTTCGCCTTGAAAGGACAAAACCATGTTCAGCTGTCTGGGCT